CTTTGCTGGACTGGGGCCTAAATCCCCTAATCCAGTTTGATTTGCATATGTTACCGTTTACTAATTTACTTCTATTGTTCTATTGCTAGCCTTACCTTCATAGAAATCCAAAGTGCACATTGTATTTCCAATTACTGTATTGAATTCATTTATCTCCTTACTGCACTGCATCAGTTCCTTAGCTAGTTGGTCATCTAGGTTGGTACTGCGAATTACAGTCTTTCCCAGGATAACCTGTTCAAATTGAGGCTTGAAGGTAGCATCTACTGATTGACTGGTTATTACCACTGAGCCTGGCTCCAGACCTGTTGTAAAAAAAATACATATAGTGAGCTGTTCAGCCTCTCTGCTCGTATGTAAACAAGGTACATTATAGCCCAATCCTGCTCCTACTGAAATCAATAAGAGTTGCCACTAAATTCAATAGGAGAAGTATTAGGATCTATGTGCATGTTTGTAGTTTATTATTCCAAATGCTTTAAAATAACTCTGTAGAGGAGACACAGTATACTGCTAATTAAAAAGGTATTTATATAAAGGACAATACAAAGGGCTGTAAAGTAATCTTAATGGTCTGACAAATCCAAACTGTTAAGGAAATATTTCACATAGGGCATGAATGATCTTTTCTCCAGCTTGCTGCAGATCTCTTCACTCAAGCACATTTTCCTGTCTGGGGAGTGAGATATTGCCTTTTATTGTAAAATTATATAACTCAAAGAATTCTTTAGCTGATGGGTAATTAGGTCTAAGGAAAAATAAGAGTGCTATGTATGACTAAAAACCTGAACATTCTCTCTCTCCTCTCTCTCTCTCTTTCATGATCCAGAATTCTGAACTAAGGCATGAAAGATAGGAACTCACGTGTCCTATAGCAGAACTAAGATCCACTCACTGGGACTGTACCTGTATTTTAAAGATGATATTAAAACCCTAAAAAGGTGTGTGGTGTTTTTTTTTTAAATATTGGACTTGCATTCTTTTTCACTTCTCTATGATGCCTTGAAAGGAATTTCTTCTGCTTTTCTTAATATTAGAACAAACAGGAATGTCAATTTCGGTGCTCCCTTATTTGGATGGAGGACTTCTCTGGGATGTATAATGTTTGCTCTGACACCTTAATTTAAAAGGTATTATTGCTGAATCTTGAATCTAGTCCCCTTTTATTCAAAATGTTTAATAATTTGAATCAAATAGATATTAACAAAAACAAGCAAAAAATTTTACACGGGCTGATTAAAACTCCCTTTCAGTTGTTCAGCTTTCACTCTCTTGATTCTTCGTCACCATTTCACTAGTTCTCCAGTCATCAGAGAAACATTCAGGCTATACAGGAACAGAATTGTTAATGTACAAACCAAGCAAAATATTTAATAAAAAAAAAAAGTCTTCAGGATTTCTTTATACATCATAAAGAAGGAAAAGAGGGCACAAATCCACTTTATTTTCCTTTGCAAGTCACCTTTTAACCTCTGCTTTATCTGTAAAGTGTCGGTGGTAATATTACCTAATAAATATTCACCAAACTGTCATGAGCATTAATTAATTTGTAAAGCCCTCTGAAAATGAAATAAGTGTTAGACATTATCATTATTATGCCTCTGTTTTATAAACCTTTAACTACAGAGATGCTTTAATTTCAAGAAAAGAGAAATATGAAGGGGAAATACCTATTCCACCAGAGGTGCCAATGCGAATAATGGTTACATTGGAACACTTGGAGTGATACAGCAGCTTGATCAGCTCATGTAACATGATGGCAATAGAGGGAATGCCCATACCATGCTGAAATGAAATCAGAAAGTCACATTGAACATTAATATACATTATTAACAGAAAAGTCGGGAATTGGAGCAGAGCTCTGTAATGAATCACTATGAAAAATACATGCAAAAGTATTCTTGTACAAACCTAACCTATGGGCCAGGGCAGAAGTTTATTGTGGTCAATAGAAAGACTTCTACTGACTTCAATGGACTTTGGATCAGGTCCAGCGTTCCCTAATACCCTGGGTTATGTTAATTTTAAAAACGTTATATTTTCTATATTCTAAACCTGAGTCCCATTCTAATCTTTTACAGTTACATGCCCTCACAAAGCTTCTACACAGCCCAAGAGCAATGTTCACACTAGTTCTTAATGACCTGAAACACTGGTGATTCTAGCTGAGCTAAAATCTTACAAAAGGCGGAGGCTGTGGTATAGTCACAAAGTTCACAAGCCTGAATCTGTTCCCGCTTACATCATAATGTGACACTTCACACCTGGAGGGGAAGAGAGCAGCACAATAGGGCCACAGTTGTGGAGTTGGTGCTATGGCTAGGGGTGGGTTTTCAAAAGTGCTCTTGGGTATGTCCACACTGCAATAAAAAACTCCTGGCACCGAGTCTCAGAGCTGGGCCAACTGACTCGAGCTCACAGGGCTTGGGCTGCAGGGCTAAAAATTGCAGTGTAGGCCTTTGGGCTTGTGCTGGAGCCCACGTTTGCAGTGGTCTCAGAGTCCAGGCTCCAGTCTGAGTCCGAACATCTACACTGCAATTTTTAGTTCACACCTTGACCCCCACAAGTCCAAGTCCCCTGACCCGGGCCAGCTGCAGCTGTGCCATGGGTCTTTTACTGCAGCGTACACATAGTCTATGTGACTTAGTAGCACAAGTCCCATGGACTTTCATTGGTACTTGTACTCCTGAGCCACCTACGTACCTTTTGAAAATCTCACCCTGGATCCTCCGCCATAGCTGAGAAACAGCCACCTTTGTTCCTTCCCCATCTGCACTTAGTGTAAACAGTCTCTGTGTTGTCCCTAGCATAGGACCAATAGGGTAGAAAACATGCTGCTCATGATTACAAAGGATTGTTGTGGCAGCCAGGAATCACTGGGATGTAGGAATATGCCAGCCATGCCCCTTTTCTCCTTGGAAAGCCATACTACCCTGGGATTTGGAAGGAGAGGTGGCATAAAGCCATTGCATCTATGTGACACAGTGGTTACCCTTACATGGGGGAAATTCTGAAGGAGCTGGCTGAGCCAGCTTTCCGGCTACTTTCCACCACTGAAGTAGACCTGAAAATTTGGATGTATATCCTCTAAAGAAATATTTAAAAGAAATATGCATTTATGTCCCATTTACAATATGCTTAAATTGTTGATTCAGTTGCAACTACTGCATTGTATATTGAAAAACATTCTGTTCTACTTCAGGAAAACTCAAAACAAAAATCAAGGACTAGGCCTTGTCCTTTTCTTTAGAAGCACTGGCAAATATAATTCCTCTCCCCCCAGCCCCGCCTCTTAATGCTTAATACTTACACTGACTGATAACACGGGTCCTACTTTGTACATCGCGTAACGGTCAGTTCCTGCACAGATGTTGGGATAGTCAGCACCGACGCTCCCAAGTCCAAGCTCTTCAGCTATGTAGGTGATAAAAGCTTTCATCCGTGAAGGGCTTCCTCCAACACATACAAACTAGCATGGACAGAATTCAACAAACCACATCAGTTATGCAGCTGACTACATGATGCAGCATATTCAAGAACAGGCAAAGGTAAATATGATAATGCAAAGGTTTAATCAGAATTATTCCCAACTACATTATTTTTATTATTACACTCCTCGTAGAGGTCTGTAAAGATAAATGTTTAAAAATAAGGCTTAAAATGGACTCAGAAGTTCTCTGTCATTGCCTGACAATGGAATTTCATTAGTATAGTACAAAATGTAGAACTAGGGCTACATCTATTTAAAATGGCATTTTGTATTGGGGTATGTTTTTAATAATAGGTACCAGAGGCAGAGTGGATGTAAAGGAGAAATTATCTGAATATGTCAAAGGGAGGGAGGGCTCCATAACTGTATTGGCATATAGAGACCGTCCGCAGGCACGACGCCCACGGCTCCCAGTGGCCGTGGTTCACCATTCTTAGCCAATGGGTGCTGCAGAAAGTGGCGTGGGCTGCAGCGACGTGCTGGCCGCCGCTTCCCGCAGCTCCCATTGGCCAGGAACGGCAAACCGCGGCCACTGGGAGCTACGGGCTGCCATGCGTGCAGACAGTCAATGTAAACACTCTCTTGCAGTCTATCGGTGGATTACCCTGAAGGGTCACATGTTGACCACCACTGCTGTAACACCTTTGCTAATAGCATTGTGTCCTAAAAAAGAAAGGCAGTTAATGTTATCTCTGACAAATTTAGCTCTGATGGTTAAT